TATCTCAAAAAAGTAAGGGCACATTTAAGTGTATCAAAAAAGTAGGTGCAGGTGTATCAAAAATGAATGTTTTGCGTCCGTAAGAACTGTCCGTATCGCCGCAGAAATTTACCACGTGATTATTGACCAATAAAAGACCATGATTTAATGTAACGTAACACGATCAGGAAAATTCGTTTTTTTGTCAAAAATCGCTTATTTCTCAAGAATTTGCATAAGAAACTACTTTCGTGCACTAATAAAATGTTTTTCTTGAGCGATTTTACTAATAATTATCTAAATTCGAACTTTAATATAGGCACTAACCCTAACATACACGAAATTAAAGAATTTTTTTAGGGGGTTATGACGATACTGGGTAAGATGATCAATTAGTGTCGTAAAAAAAAAGTGTTCTTCGCTTCGCTCCACTCCGGATAATCAACCCATGATTCAATTTTAGTTGAAAATTGTAGAGAATTTTAATATATTTTCTCAAAATTGGTTAAACAATTTTGTTAAGTCGTTAAGACAGATCTTTAAAATGTAAATGCTATCACATATACTCAAATATAAATATAGGTTTATTCATTGAATTATTTATCACATATGTTTAGTATCTTTACTATGGACCGACTTATTAAGACCGGTCTTAATTTATGGATTGGAACCACTGATTCAAAAGAAATGATTCAGACCATGGTCATTTCCGGACCGTAACACCCCTACTTTAACAGCAGCCACTGCTTGGTGGTTGAGGCACTGTAGTACCTGGTCTGATGGTTTGCTTTTGAGTTCCTCCAGTAGAAACAGTCGTCGTACCCATCCTAATATTTACATAATAATTAATTAATTTTAAATTATTTTATGAAACACAAATAATAAATGTTACAGCTAAAACATTATCAGAATTCATTATTAATAAAATCCGATAATATTTCACAATTATATTAAAATAAATAAATTCATACCTGTCTTTAATTTGTTTAGCCATTGTCAAGAAAGCTTGTTCAACATTCGTAGCATTCTTGGCAGATGTTTCCAAGAACGGAATACTCAAATGATCAGCAAACTCCTAAAAATATGTAAATACCTCTGTGAATTAAAAACATTTATTTCATATAAATTACATAAATCCTTAATAGAAATGTACCTTGGCAACTGTATATTCCACAACTTTCTTATTTTGCAAATCGCTTTTATTTCCTACCAATAATTTGTTAACTCCTTCACAAGCATAACGATCGATTTCCTGAAGCCATTGTTTCACATTATGAAAAGTATCTTGATCAGTGACATCATAAACAACAATGATTCCATGAGCACCACGATAGTACGAGGAAGTGATTGTTCGGAACCGTTCTTGTCCTGCAGTATCCCACTAATGCATTTTGAAATCGTAATTTATGTTTATGATTGTTTTAATAAGTCAAGATTCTGATAAATGAGGACAATAAAATGGGCATGTGAAATCCAGTAGGTAACTTAGAAATATATGAAGCATACGATTTGTAATTTAACAGTTTTGCCCTCAAGCTCGATAGTACGAATTTTCTATAGAAAAAATTTATGATTATTGTAAAGTCTTAATTTAAATATAAATTTCAACTTTTTATTTTCCAAGATTAAGAGATACTTACAAAATCGACTCCGATAGTACTGATATAACTTTCTGTATATGTATCGTCAGCAAAACGAAGCAATAGACAAGATTTACCGACCCCTGAATCACCGATCAAGAGAAGCTTGAAGAGATAATCACTAAATAATAAAATATGAAAATTTATAATGTCAGTTCATATGTAAAATGAGTTTTGGCTAAAGTAGTTTGTATAAAGTGCAGATTTAAGGTGGCGCAGAAACTTATAGAGATGATGAGAAAGAGTTCTAAAACTACTGGTAATGGCCACAAATAACTTTATATCGCTAAGAATACCTCTCTACCAGGGCTTTTTTGCCTCATAAAGCGTCATTTAACTACTCCGTTCGTTTAAGCGTCAAGCTATTCTATCCAAAGTCATTCGGAAAAGATTAACACTACTTACTATTCCGGATTCATATTGTGAATTATGAAATTAGTAAGGTTATGAGTAGTAAATAATAAGTGTATACCGTTAAGAATGCAATAAAGTATAAGAAATCAAGCCAGAGAAGTTAACTACTAGCTTTATAGTTATGATAAGGAAGATGTACGAAGCGGCCAACTACCCCAAATGTTTGTGAATATTCAAAGTTTATATATGACGTGTGGCGAGGCGAATCGTCTTCTCATGTGATACTCCTTTGTCTAATCCCTGATTGACTTCGTGTAACTTGACTTTTTATACGTTATACTGTATTGTTAAATTTTTTAAATTTTTTATCCATTTTTGTTTGATCAAAAATCCTTAACGTTAAACATGATCATTTATTTTATAAAAAAAAATAAAAATAATACTAATTTTGGTATGTTTTTTTTCGATATAAAAGAATATTTTACGTATACGTATCCATTTTCTTGGTGACTGCATAACTACGTACTTTTACAAAAATCGAAAATGATGAATCCAAATATGTAATTAACCATTTTATCTTGAAGTCAGGAAACCAAACACAGCCCGCGTATTTTCACATCCGATGTAATGTCGATATGTTGCCATAATTAGTATGAATCGCTCAATATAATTAATTACTTGCCACGCGTTTTTAGAAATGTCGTATCATGAAATTGCTGCGGGAGGCGGGAAATTACATATAATCAGTAATGTACTGTACATTAGACAAAATTGGTTATCTGAATACTTTTGGACTCTTTGGATTGGACGCCCAATCTGATATCCAATCATGATTCTTGAATACTAGGTTTTGATCCTTTTAAATGCTTCATAAATTTAATTGGTCGAAATTATATAGGTACTAATATGTAATTTGAATAACTTAAGATCTAATTAATTAGACCTTTGACATCTAAAGTTAAATCAAAAATCATTAGATATTAGATGTCCAATATTTAATCAAGTCTATTGAACATTAAATATGATACTGTAACACTACTTATTGCGTAAAATTATCATTAGGATTAGTATTCGTAGGTTTTTCGATCGGTCAAAGTCACCTGATATTGATAATTATTTTTATACCCTTTCAAGATCGCAGGGTATAAATCAGTTATACCCTGGACACTGTGTATAAGCGGAAAGTTCATTTCCGCTTATACCCAACTGCCCAGGATATAACTATTACATATCCAATGTTAATTAGAACGTTCAAATTATGACCAATGTCTATTGAACCTGATCATCGCATATAACACTACCGTTTTTTTTTATCGTCACTGGTTCCGTTTTAATTTAGATATTTGTGATGCCCAAATGATTAAATTGTTTGTACTAACACACACTAATTAGTCATATTTCAAGCCACATGAATGCTTAAGTCCAAGTTCGGTCCGGAAACATACCGGCAAGTTTTTTTCACTTGTTTATCCAGATTTTTCGAAAAAATCTTTTGTTCTATTTCATAGTTACTATATTTCTAATAATAGTACTAACACTAAAGCCCACCAATGGTGCTCAACACTACATATAGTTTGTATTAACAATTTTACTATTAAAATCTATAATTATAAGCAAAATTAGAACTAAATAAAATGATTTTAAAAATAAATGTTTTTTGTGATTTTTTTTCAAGTTTTCTAAAATACACCATAGATGTTAAACACCATAGTTGCTATATCTCAAAAACGTACTAGCTAACACCTCTCTGGAGTATTAAATAAAAATATTCAGAACCCCAAAAACCTTATGCTAACTAAAATTTGGACCTTTATATTTGACCTCTATCTTACTCTAAAGTTGTACCTTAACCCTAAATTTTAGCTAAAAACATGTTAATACCAACAACACCTATGGTATATTTTATGATTATTGTTTTTTAACCCAGGTTAAAATAACTTGTTACATGATGTGAAAAATAGTTTTAATTTTATTATACAACTTTAATAGTAAGATAAAATTATATAATATATTTTGACAAATAAATTATTAATTAAATTAATTTATAATTTTGTAAATTATATATTTAACACATTATATATGAACATATTTTTAGAATTAAATTAGAGTTTGTTTTAAAAACTTTAATTTAATTCTAAAAATAGGCTTATATGATATAATAGAAAAATTTTAAAATTATATATTGTGTAATATATAAATCAACCCAATTTTTATCAAAACAAAATTTTTTTATTACTAAAATAAAAATAAAGATTTAAAATTAAAACTATATAAAATTTATAGTAAAATTTAGCAAAAATTTTTTAAAGCCCAAAGGTAATTTTATTAATAAAATTTTAATATTAATATTTTGTTTTGTTTTTAAGATAACCTTTCAGTATTTAGGAAGAACTTTTTCCTCTAATCATCAAAATACAAATTTCTGAAAACAAAAATTAACAAAAACTACAGAAAATATACAAAAGCCACTAGGAAACCAAACTTAGAGCTCTAAAAAAAGAGGAAGAGGACTACAAGAAACATTTAGATTTTTAAGAAACTTGAGTAAAAAGAACAGAAGCAATAAAGAAATAGAAGAAATTGTAAAAAATCGTCAATATTTTTTTGTACTTTGTGAATTTTTGGGAAATCAACCTTGATTTTGAATTATAGATCTATTTTAATAATACAAAAATTACAATATATAATAAAGAATAAACAAAGAAAACATGTTAAAAATCACATAACAAAAATAAGCAAAGTTGGTAAACAATCACAACAAGCAACAATAAGCAATAATAATTAGAAAAAACCAAGTTACATGAAATAAAATTTAATTGAATATTCTGAAAGAAGATTTGTTATAAGAGAAAAAGCAGAAAAAAAAATAGAAGCTCTATTAGAAGAACTAAAACAGTATAGACAGAATAAAATTTTTAGTATAGAACTCAAATTTAGAAAAAAAAATAATTATAAATATGAGATAGCACTAAATAGAGAAATATCTATATATGAGTTTATTATAAAAAAAGAAATACTTAGTATTATAGATGAGTTTGATATAACAATTAAAATGAATTTAAAAAATAGATCAAGATATAAAACAATCACAAAAACTTATAGCAAAAAGAAAACAAAAGGTTATATAAAGAAAACAACAAGTCATATAAAGCAAATATTAGCAGAATATTTAGAAAAAATCTGACATAACTGAAGATACAAAAGCAGTATTAGAAGATATTCAAGATGTAACAACAACAATAACTGATAAAGAGATAGATATATAAATAGAACAAATAATAGCAGAAAATACTAGGCAGAAACTTATCACAAAAGAAAAAACTAAAACACAAATAGAAAAGCTCTATGAAGAATTATAATAGTATAATGGAGAGGAACTAGAATATACAAGACTTGCACTTATAGAAAGAGACTATGAGAGTTTTTATAAAGCAATACAAAAAGGAGAAAATTCAATTAGTTATATTATAAATGAAAAAATAACTTGTATTATAGTAGAATTAAAAATAGCTAATAGAATAAGAAGTTTATTAGAAAATAGAGAAAAACAAAATACTGAAATAAAGTTAAAATTAGAATTAGATTAGAGTAAGAGACTTCAAGAACAAAGAAAAAGCTAACAAAGACAATATAATAAATAGCTCTAAAGTCTATAATAAATCAATTCAAAAAATTTGTTAAGACTACTATAGCAAACTAGCAAGAGATAAAGAGAAAAGCTAAAAAAGAAAAAAAAAATACAAGTTTAACAAAGAAAAAAACAAACTGCTAAAATAAAATTGAAATTAGATCTAAACTAAAGCAA